CACAACTTATCGGACTTATCAAATTGAAAAAATTATGAAGGAACTAAAGATCTCACGAAGATGTTTATTATTTATATATCTATACCTATAACTATTTATCGGAATTTTTACACTCTAGATCTTTATGATTCATGTGGGACTCTTTTATTAAAATTTCGAGTTGCTTAATTCTCGAATGTATTCGTGGCTCTTCCTGTGTCATCGCCTGACGCAATATCTTTGCTGTAATATCGCAAAGTTCTGCCGAGTCTGATATTGGTATCGTCATTTGACATTTCTCATTGATCGGAGGATATGATTTAGTGTTTTTTGATCTAATGTTCTTTTGATACTGATTGATAGTCCTCTTGGTATTTATTAAACTATTTGAACATGGTTTCATTTCTTCGTATGGTTTTCTAGGTGTTGTAGGTGTAACCATCTTACCCTCGCAAATTTTATCATCCTTTTAATAATCAATAATGCATTTCTTATAATAATATGAAAACACATATAACACATTACAATTATATTATGTCTGTAAAAAATATAAAATATAATATCTCCTTTCCTTAAGCTGTCAATGGTTTTCAAATTTGGGAAAATAGCCTTGAAAAGTGTAATTATACTGTAACTAAATGTTCTTTCCTACCTCAGGGAAACCTTCTATCATCGCTTTCAACAAAACAGCTCTGGGCAATTTATACGAGGGCTGCTTAGGCTGCGGTTCTTTAAATCTTGTATTTTTCGATTTAATCAGATCGATGTAAATCACATTTCTAGATGCTATTTGATAACATAAATTTTTGGAATGCGATTGTTCTTGACAATTGATCAGCTGACGAACACAAGGATTCTTTGAGGATTTTTTAGGATCAAACACATATTTCCAAAGGGACAATTTTCGTTCTGCGAGCTTCTTCTGTGTCGATGATGATACTCTTTGAATGTTCAAAAAACATATTTTTTTCCTTACTCCTGTTCAGATATATTGAAATAATTATGTTAGAAACACAGAGTTTTTTAAATTTTATTATTTATATAATGGTTCTTAAATTTTTAAATAAATTTCACCATAATGCTCAGGTATCTTTGATAGAATTGATATTGATCGTCTGTTACAATCCTCAATAATATTTTTCTTTGAACAGACAGACTTGGCGTACTGCCATGATTGTTGCCACAAGAAAGGGTTATATTTATTCTTCTGAGAATAAATTAAGAATATATTATATTAGCATACTGTTTACATATAGACATTAATCAAGTCTTACGTTTAATGAAAGTAAACCGAAAATTTGGTTGGACCGAAAATGTGCCATTGAGGATAAATAATATTTTATGTTCACAATTACATATTAAAAAATAAAATATATATGTTCTGATATGTACTATTTATATATATTTAGCAATGAAACAAAAAACGATGTGAACTTCATAATGCAAAAATATTCATAATTTTTTTTTAAAGATTCAAAAAGATATAAATATATGCACCAACTAGAAAATAAAAAAATGTATTCGCTAAGTTTTATAAATATTCATTTACAAGTACTATGTAGTTTTCATAAATTATTTTAAAGTCCAGTACGCTTCTTTGTAATTTGATTAAATCTGAATTTCCAAAATAGATATATATATATA